GGGCTGCTGATAGCCAATCACGTTCGAGAATTTTGTTATAGTTTTGATTAACCCAAAATTCAGAGTACTATGGTATTATAAAAAAAAACTGAACGAGTTGGTTTGACAATGTTGCATGTGAAATCAATATAGTTGACGGAATTTCTGCGGACCCTGCGCTGCTAGGAGCTAGATTACTTTAGTCATTATACCGCTGACTCACGGCCTGACTGACTCGAAGCTTTGCCTACCTGTGCGAGACCCACACCGTTACACCTTGCGGTCCATAATCTGAGGGAGGAAGGAAGAAATTTTAGGAACTGTTTTGAATGCATGTTCTTCTTACACTAACACCAATTGTGTGTCTTCGCAATGTGTTGAAGTTGTGCAATAAGTTAAATTATTGTTGTCTTCGGGTGCATCCTTTATAATAGACTGGATCGTCAATGCTTTTGTTTATCAACTACGTGGAACAATGATGCAAACCATTTATTTTCGCAAGAAGCCTTTGCTGATACTTGTCGGACTTTCAGTATGTCTTATTCTGTGGATGGCGATTCAACATTACAAAAGAGTGCCCCTGGAAATGAGTGCTTTAACAGTAACCAAGGGGCAATTCATGCTTAAAACAAAGCCTCTTCGAATTTTCAGTGGATCAATACACTACTTTAGAGTTGTGCCGGAATATTGGAGAGATCGGCTACTCAAACTTAAAGCTATGGGATTGAATACCGTAGAAACGTAAGTTTTTATTGTAAGGTAGTTAAATTTAATTGAGTAATCCGAATTAAACTCGCGATTTCGCCTTATATAACATACAACATTGAATAAAACAAACGTCGAGTGTACTTAAATGCGTTAATTATGCATACTCAATCAACAAACATTTCTCCACAGTTACGTTCCCTGGAATCTTCATGAAGAAATTAAAGGACAGTTCAACTTTGAAGGAATCTTAGATATAGTGTGAGTCTATGCCATATTAAAATTTTGTATCAGGCCCGTGGTTGGGGGAACTCCCATGTGAGCTCGTGACGTCTCACTTAGGGGTATAAGTCAAGGATTCTGGTCTCACTTAGGGGGTTGATGACAAAAGGCCACTATTTTTACCCTTCAAAGTATCTTCTTGGGTACACTCGAAGAAATGATAAGAGAAATGTTGTTATTTCTGTTTTTGGGCTCAATTTCTGCCAGTCTCTTCAGTCTGGTCTACTAGCGCGGGCTCCTTTCCTGAACAGCGGCTAGGCTCATGCCCCGATTGGTCTCCCTTAGGAGGACCCTTAGGAGTTTAGTTTAAATTTTCTGACAAGTATTGCTGACCTTTTCATATGGGGGGTGGGG